GATGACGACCTGATGACGACTCACTTTAAACTTGCTGAGCACGCGCAGTTGATCATTTTTCGCCTGGTCGCCTGAAAAAAAGTGGGTACATGATAACGCAATCTTCCGCAGTGTTTACAACGGTCTGTTACGTCTCTGTATGTCTTATCTACTCTGTGCATAAGCTGACCACATTTTAAATTTCTTTTTAACGAAACGGCAATGAATTATGGCGCCAGCACTCATTTTAATACGCCAGAATACAAATCGACAAATCGTAGCGTGTTGACGTAGCCACAGAGTAGAGACATACAGAGACGTAATTAGTGTACACACTTTTTTGTGCGCATGCTGGGCAAGTGGGTACATGATAACGCAATCTTCCGCAGTGTTTACAACGGTCAGTTACGTCTCTGTATGTCTTATCTACTCTGTGACGTAGCTTAAAACAGTTGTCCCACCCATCTTGTTTTCGGCCGGCAAACAGACATTTGCCAGCCATTTGCCAGAGGCTGTGTGTAATTTGCCGGTACATACTTGCAGTTATGACAAACTGAAATTTTTAGCCCTGTCTTGCACTCGGACAATATACCAAATAGACAAAGCTTGCAAGCCTTTGCCCACCACTCAACTCACAGCGCCCTTGAAGCTTCGATCTTCCATTCTTTGCATACTTGTTTCACTCATCAATTAATAGCCACAGCCTCAGTAGAGCAAAACAGTATTGGCCATACCCAAATTATTATTAGCCAGGACTTCAAACGGACACCTGAAGGGCTGAGTTCTCCTTAGGGGTTGTTCATATGAGCCCAGGGTTTATTTATACGTTCTCAGTGATAAATGTTTCTCTCTAGGTTCGAGAGAAAATGTTGTATGCTGCTACAAGAGCAACTCTCAAGAGTACCTTTGGTGGAGGACATATTAAAGACGAACTCTTTGCAACACATCAGGTAAACAATGTAAAAATTATACCTTTAATTATATCTGTAATTTATATACCTTTTCGAGAGACTTATAGTTAGTATATGCAAGTATTTTCCTTAGTTTACATCATGATGTTAAATTACAACAGGCGGATGCAAGCTATCAAGGATACTTGAAACATCTGGAACATCTCGAGGCTCCTCCACCATTGACTGATGCTGAACATGAATTACAGCAGGTTAAAAAATCTGAGGTATATACCTAGAAAAATATATACGCGTTTCACTTTTGTGACCGAAATTCAAGTCATGCAAATTATGAAGCAGTCCTTGATGGACAACTTGCATGTTAGGCTAAATTTTAATCTGAGTAAAGAGAAGGGAATAAAACACAACAGTTAAAAAGAAAATAATGAAATTAGTAAAATTGCAAAATTTGGTTGCGAAATGTTGTAACATGCAGAAAATAAAGCTTTGCGAAGTTTGCATATTTTCAATATATTTGTATTACGTGCGGAAATTGTTACCATTTTCAGCTCAAAAATGGTAACAATTTCCGCACGTAATACAAACATACTGAAAATATGCAAACTTCGCAAGGCTATGTTTTTTACAACATTTCGCAAACAAATTTTGCAATTTTACTGATTTTAATAAGTTCTTTACGGGAATTTACTTTTTTTGCCTAAATCGAAAATTAGACTAACATGCAAGTTGTCTATTTTATAGTGGACCTCCAGGGAGAACAGTTTACAATTGATAGAGCTATCCAGTGTAGATAAAGTTAGTTTAGTTTAGGTTTCCTCCTGTAGTAACACTGGATCAATAAGAGATAATCCTTACAGGATCTCTAGGAAGAACAGTTTAGAACTGATAGAGCTATCCAGTGTAGATAAAATTAGTTTAATTTAGGTTTCCTCCTGTAGTAACACTGGATCAATAAGAGATGATCCTTACAGGATCTCTAGGAAGAACAGTTTAGAACTGACAGAGCTATCCAGTTTAATTTAGGTTTCCTCCTGTAGAAACACTGGATCAATAAGAGATGATCCTTACAGGATCTCTAGGAAGAACAGTTTAGAACTGATAGAGCTATCCAGTATAAATAAAGATAGTTTAGTTCAGGTTTCCTCCTGTAGTAACATTGGATCAATAAGAGATGACCCTTACTGGACATCTAGGGAGAACAGTTTAGAACTGATAGAGTTATCCAGTATAAATAAAGTTAGTTTAGTTTAGGTTTCCTCCTGTAGTAACACTGGGTCAATAAGAGATGATCCTTACTGGACCTCTAGGAAGAACAGTTTAGAACTGATAGAGCTATCCAGTATAAATAAAGTTAGTTTAATTTAGGTTTCCTCCTGTAGTAACACTGGATCAATAAGAGATGTTTCTTACTGCACCTACTAGAACTAACCTCATAGAACTAACCAGTGTAAATAAACTTACAGTACATACTGTAGTTTGTGTTTCCTCCTGTAGTAACACTGAACAAATAAAGAATAGGCCTTGCTGGACCTCTAGGGAGAACAGCTTAGAACTGTTCAAGTTTTTATAAAGTGCAAACGTTTAGTTTCTGTAGTCGATGGTTTGTGTTTTGTTTATTTCAGAGCCGAAGCGACATTGGTATCCACACACGACACAGCAACTTGCCCGGTGTTAACTTTCCAATTTCCGAGGAAGCCTTGCAAAAACTTGAGAAGCTTCGTGACAAGCAACTCACCTTTGTACAACTGGTAGGTCTTTGTTCACGTTTTGACCATATGTATCAGTAAATTATCATAATATTGTTTTAAATAATTTTTGTTTTTCCAGAGTGTGGATACAGAAGCTGAGCAAATCGAGTTACGTTTTGCAGGCGACTGTTCTGTGGAGGAAATTGCTGACAAGACTCCTGAAGATCATCCATGTTATAGTTTCTTCTTGTTTAAACATACACATGAAGGCGATTATTTAGAGTCTATTGGTAAGTGATAAAATGAACCTCTACGAAGAACAGTTTAGAACTGATAGAGCTATCCAATATAAATAAAGTTAGTTTAGTTTAGGTTTCCTCCTGTAGCAACATTGGATCAATAAGAGATGACCCGTACTGTACCTCTAGTGAGAGCAGTTTAGAATTGATAGAGCTATCCAGTATAAATAAAGTTAGTTTAGTTTAGGTTTCCTCCTGTAGTAACACTGGATCAGTAAGAGATGATCCTTACTGGACCTCTAGGAAGAACAGTTTAGAACTGATACAACTGTCCAGTATAAATAAAGCTAGTTTTGTTTAGATTTCCTCCTGTAGTAACACTGGATCAATAAGAGATGACCCTTACTGGATCTCTAGGGTGAACAGTTTAGAACTGATAGAGTTATCCAGTATAAACAAAGTTAGTTTAGTTTAGGTTTCCTCCTGTAGTAACGATGGATCAATAAGAGAGAATCCTTACTGGACCTCTAGAAACAACAGTTTAGAACTGTAGAGCTGTTATTACTACACTTATTTCATCAATAGATTTATTCCTATATTTTTCCCATTTCTCTCAGTTTTCATCTACAGTATGCCGGGTTATAAATGCTCTGTCAAAGAGCGCATGTTATATTCGACATGTAAGGCACCATTATTGGCAGGTCTCGAGGAGGAATTAAAGTTAGAAATTCCGAAAAAGGTAACTAAAGCCAAAGTTTGTAAATTGATAACATTTTAATTCTCTACTGTATGTTTCGAGCAATCCATCCCATAATCGTTTCTTATTTCGTAGATTGAAATTGAGAATACAGAAGAAATAACAGAAGAGTTCCTTCTTGATCAACTTCATCCAAAGAAGATACTGCATCAACCCAGATTTGCGAAGCCGAAGAGACCACAGGCTAGGGGTGCGAGAAGACTTCTTCAGAATAAAGATGAAAATAGCGAAAACTGAATAAAGCAGGCCAGAATCTCACATTTTAAATAAATGATTATACTAGAGAATAAAATCGATTGATTGTAGGTGTGTTTCAGAAAGTATATATAGAACATGGCAGTCAAGTGTAAAGGGAATGATAGTTATCGGAATGGCTAGAGCCGTTTGACAAGGATAACATATTACCGCGCTTTTACACCCGACATTGATGGACATTGCCCAACAAATACAACATTTTTTCTTGCATCGTTAATTGCCCAAAATTTCTTGACGAAGTAGAATTGCTCGATTTTTAAGTAGAGTCTGCCCGACTAAAAATTATACGGGGCTGTCTGTGTCTGTTTTTATATGAAAAACTTATAATTATCATTTGCTTTATGATTGTAATGAAATCATTTATTTAAAATGTGAATTCAGAATGAAAATTTTTGTTACCGAATGTTTATCAATAATGTGTAGCATTATAATCAATATTACTATATCTTTGCTATTATTTATCGAAATTACCTGAAATATTTTCGATTGTGTGAATTGCCTGACCACAAAAACATTTTAAATAATGATTCTTGCTTTATTTCGTAACTACAGGACATTTTAAACATTTCTCAAATTGACATATAATAAACAATTGTACATCGACGCATTTAGACTAGTCTGGCTTTGTATGAACATTGCTATTTTTTATAAATAATTGTATTGATTCAAATTTTATTAAAATGTACAACAATATTACTTTTATTAAACTGAGTGCATTCTATGAGAAGATCTGAGAAAATCAGCCATATTGTTTTGAAACGTGTCTTCTTGGGATTTAATTGCTGTAATGTTATCAGGATCAATAGGAGAATGAATTCACCAATATGGGGCAATCGGGGAATTATTATTAATACGTAATATTAATCATGTGTACGAGAATCAGGGACTTAGCCTTTCTTACGCCATTTTTGGGGGTACTGTCTGCAGGCCCGCCGAGAGGGGGGGGGAGCAAATTACCCCAGGGCCCCAGAACCTGGGGGCCCCTAAAAAAATTTGTGGGGCCCCCAGTCATTTTTTTGGACGATGTATTTCTGTTTTTCGGGCGAAATGTTTCTGTTCTTGGGCAAAGTTCCGAAATTTGGTATGGAAAAATTTAGGGAAAGTGCCACGCAAGCAATAGAGAGGTTAAGATACCCCGGTTTACGGGTACGGGTGATATACACGTACCCGTAAACCGGGGAACGACTTGTAACTTAAGAAATCCAAGATACTCCGGCGTGAGAAAACCGATCAGAGAATGGTAACTTTCGCTGTTGAGGTTCGCCATAGATTGTTGAAAACTTTGACAAGCATATGTGCATTATTTATTTGGGTAAGATGTTGAAAATTTTCACTATTTAAACGGCCCACATATAGTGAACAGAAAACACCCGTACCCGTTTGTCTTTTACGTGTAGACCATGGTTTACCGCGGGGAAACGGGTAGAAATTCCGGGTAAAAATGCTGACATCAGCAAAAATTGGTTAACAAAGTGGCGATACTCGTACCCGTAAACCGGAACCGGGGTATGTTAACCTCTCTAATCAAAGCGCACTCGTCCGGAAAAGTTTGGGAGGTTTTTGTCCGGAAAATTTTTTTTTGATTAGGGGCCCCTAAAAAGAATTTGCCCCGGGCCCCCAACAAGCACTGATCGGCGGCCCTGACTGTCTGCCCCCGGTTTGCCTTCGTGAAATATTCCAGACAATTCAAAGAACAGTGCGATTTCTAAGTCCTTTTAAGATAACAAAACGATGATTCCCCTTGCTCTGCAGCCTATTGTGATGTAAACATTTACAGGCGAAACTAGTTTTCAACACAAAAGCAGATAACATGATTCGTTCATGCACCCATGGCCATGATTCAATGAACACAGACCTAACTCAAAGGCCCTCAATGACAATGGACTTAAGCCGGTTTTCCACTTGCGAATTTTTTCGCGCGAAAGTGAATTTTTCATTTGCCTTTGGTCTCTCAACTGGAACCATCTGGAACTAATTGGATAAAGACAAAAGAAAAATTCGCTTCGCGCGAAAAAATTCGCAAGTGGAAAACCGGCTTTAGGCTTGTTTCAAACGTCGCACTTCTCATGTGCCGAACGCATTAAAAACAATAGATAATCAGCTGAAATCCTCATTATCTATTGCTTCTAATGCGTTCGGCACATGAGAAGCGAGACGTTTGAAACAGGCCTGAAAGTCATTTGAAATAATTAAATTCCAGCTTCAAACATACGAACAAGTTAAGCGACCGTATCTATTCCCCAAGGGAGTTCAGACCAATGCATGCTTTCAGCAGTAGCCAATGATAGCAAAGCATTTGCAAGCTAAACCAATCAGAGCTCGTAAAAGTTTGACGATACCAGACAAGGGTGCGGTTTACGCATTCGTGGTAAATTTGAATATTTCTACTCGAGGTTTTGAGGGCGTCATTCCGACTCGAAGTTTAGGAAAGTACACATCAAAGTTAGTGTAAAACTTCGCTTTTGTGAAACGTTTTCGAAATAAAATCGTTATGCCATGCAGAGGGAAAGGTCAGTATTAAGTTTAGCTATTTTTTAAACGTTTTTGAGTTGTTCTTGTTAAGTTATTGCTGTTTTTTAAAACACGTGTGTATATTCATTATACGTATTGAATTTGATTCCCATTCAAGCGCTTTGTTTCAGCGCTCAGTTGCTTTATTTTCTCAGTATCTCTCCCTAATTTCCTAGCAGAAATGTTCAGGAATACCCCAGCTTTGATTCATTTAACTCATATTTAGTTTATCTGCAATTTCAGGGCGAAAATTTGAAGAAAAAGTGAACCATGCAATTTAAGTCGCCGACATGGTCGAAATGCCGAAGCACTTGGTAAGCATAATGTCCATAAAGGCGTTTCGGGTCCTTCTTGTTGTTTGTTTCTCGTTTTCAAGCTTTCCCAATACACCCATAACGTCTTCTAGCATTGCTTTGTAGCCTTATGAACACTCTGAATGAAGTTTAGTTGCAATATTGGTGAAACTTTTGTCCATACGGAGCGAATTGCTGACCAGTTATTTTAGGCATGGTCAATTTTACACACAGGCGTGGCATATCATTTTCGAACATTTTAGCTTTTACAAACTAGTCGTTTATGTACAAATTGTTCTCTGAGAGGGAAGGCTAAGCTTTTTGAGTTTCTTGATGTTATCTAAGTTGAATTTCATCCAATATTTTTTGCGAAATTTTGAGACGAAATGTCCTCGTGGTTCATGCCCTAATTTTATGCATAGATGCAGGCATTCTTTAAAATTAAAATATCGAATTGGATAACCAACACCCTGTGTGTTGACATTGAATATAACTCTTCGTTGTTTTGAAACTAAAAATTCATTTTCCAATTATTTTTAGACTGCCTCAAAGTCGAACAAAGGCGAACGGTACAGAAAGACCTCTGCACAGATTTAACGAAGAGTCGCTCGCCTAGCAGTCGAAGCAAAACGAGAAAGACGAGAAGGCAAAGGACGAATGAGACCAGCCACCAGCTCGATTCCTTTGCGAACCCACAGCATTCGTCGTCTGATTTCGTTCGTGCAAAGTTTGGAAGAGATTGCCACTCATCCAGAGACTGTAACGAAGGCATATAATAACATACTCGAACTGTTTGTGCCAACGTTAGATATTGATAATAAAACCAGAGATACCAAAGAAGTGATATGAAGCGTCGAAGAAATACCAAGCGTCGTTAAAGATGTTGTACATTTCGGGATTCTCGTCGTGCGTGTTCGAAAGTGCGTGGGACTGGCCCTGAAGACGCTCAAATGCACAAAATAAATTTGAATGTGGCACATTTTCCTTAATTTCGCAATTTATTCAAATTTTCTACATTTCTTGGTATTTGTGCAAAGCTCTAAACGAAATCGAAATGTTTGAAATTCGGAAGTTTCTATCTGGGAGTTTGTTTATTTGAAAGATATTTGAAATGAAATTTCGAAGTTTACATCACCTTGGTATTTGGTTTAAACGCTAGGTAAAATCATGCCAGATGAGTGGTCGACCATTCGTCGACGTTCGGTGATACTTCGGCTCGGACTTTCCCGACCTACAGTCGAGTTGCTCGGATCGATTGTCGTGATCAACTAGCACAGGTGCAAGGTCTGGCCAACCTTACATCAGTGCTTTTTGTTCGTGGCATGAGATTGGGACAGCTCGCCTGTAGGCCTGGAAAGATCAAGCCGAAGTACCACCAAACTTTGATTTGTGGCCGGCTTTTGTCTGTATGGCTTTATCCAGCGTTTTCCCTTTATCACTTTGATGTAGACTTTGTGATTTTGGCTTGAATATCTTTAATATAAACATTCTTTGAGGTTTAATCTTTCAAGAATTTCATGGGTTTTGACTAGTTCATGTGTTTCTCGCAGATACTATAATTGTACTAAAAATATTGACCAGAAAATTTTAAAACTGACCAAAACATCATTTGAGGTGTCGGATGGGAGGGTCCAGTGGGCGTCGTAGCGGATACCAATGGATAAATACGGATTACTGTGACAATGTGTACCATTGAAGATACTGTGAACATTTATGGATAATTGTGAACATTAATGGATTACAACGAACACTCATGAATTATTATGAACATTATTGGACAAAATGTACCTCGCGATCGACGGTTACCTACCAATGTACCTTGACAACGAAAGCTACACGACGGCAACGAGATGACTGCCTCAAGGTTAGAAGGTTTAGTCTGATAACAATTAAGCAGTTGTTTGTTTGTTATCAGGCAGTAGTTAGCCTGCTATCAGGCAGTAGTTAGCCTGCTAACAGGCAGTATATCTGTAGGATTCATACCCAGGACTCTAATTTGCATGTGGTCGGTGGAGTCTCTGGGTTAACCGGTTTACAATTCCTGGCGGTCTGTCGTTAATAGTACATTTGCACGCAAGGTTGATTTTCATTCAGATGTTTGCATGCTAATAAAAATCGAGGTACAATTAATTTTGACCTCAGTTAATCAGAATTTCGACATCATCTGCAATCGAAAATCAATCTTAAAGAGGTTAACATTTGAGCTTTCGGTCACGTGGTTCGTTGCATGCACTCGGTTCGGTTATTGGTGGGTTTCAGTAAGTGTTACAATCCAAACGATGGTCAACATTAGCCGTTGGCACTACCTGGAGCAATTTATTTGCTTCAAATACAAGATTGCTACATAAAGTGTAAAAGAGTTAACATTATTTTTTCACTCTAGTAACTCGTAGTGAGACCCACTAGGTATTTGCGGTCTGTTCGTGCCAATGTTGTTCTCTTTGTGTAAATGTACTGCTTAGGTGTCTGTGCATGGATAAACGCAACGCGCAGCTAGGTATCCAGAATATAGGCAGACAAGTAAAACCTTGCCAGACTTAAAAATTTTGTTTATATCGGTATGTTATGTTCATAAATGTATAGAAATATCATGAAATGTGTTAGGCTTTGGCTTGGGGTTAAATCCAACCCTATAACCTTAACCTTAATCCATTACATGATCTGTATATTTGTGTACGTAATATATGGGTGTTGCCAAAATTTTGCTGAAAAGCTGGCATAGTTTTCCTTTGCTAGGATAACTAAACTGGGTGCAAATGGTATCCATAGCTTAGAGGGTGCAAATGGTACCCGTAAGAAGATTGGTGGATATCGTTGTGGACAAGATATTTTTTGAAAGATGTGGATTCTCTCCGGGTACTCCGGTTAAAAGATAAAAAGATCAGCTTAGGACTGTAATGACACAATTATTGTAAATGATAAATAGTCTAGGCGTGGTTTCATCGCCCGTAGTGCATGTATATCGCTGGTTTCGAACGTTAGTTTTCTGCCCCGAGTTAAATGAAAACAGTTCGCTACCAGAGATTAGGTCCCCTCTCTGTTATGGCGGCTCGACGATGGAAGACATTAACATAAGGCATGCCAACCTTACCCCTGTTTGTGGAAGCTCATCAGGTGCGATCGGCACACTAGGTTAAGTTAAGGTAGGGGCATGACCGAGAATTCCACATTCAGGGGTTTCCCTTGCAGGTTTTGAAAGGTTATATGCGCGCGCGCACTAGTTAGGAAGGTTAGGCAGCTAGAAATCAGGCGCTTTTGCTGTTTTTTACTGTAAGGCATGTGTTACTATAATTCATTATCTTCATACTTTTGCGCCAGTAACTTCCTGTAAAGTATTCACGAAGCAGGAAAATGGAATCTGTCACAGATTCGTTTCCCCGCTGAAAAATACTTACAGTACCAATTCAAAGTGAACTGAAAAGAAATATTGCGAAAAAGAGAAAAATGAAAAAGAAAACCGCGAAGCCACTTTGAATATAAGCCACAATAGTCCCAGGAATACTAGTTGCAGAAAAAACAACAAAAAAGAAACAATTTTCTGCCTAAAATATCTTGGATTACGGGCTTAACGATAAGAAACGTAGTTCTCGTTCCAAAGTGGAGAATAGGCTCGTTTCTTTAGGGACGTTGCGCGCGCGTTTTATAAATTGTACTATAAGTTTTCAGTTGAAAAGACCGCCAGGTGATAGGGTGTTTTCATGTGTTGCTTTGTTGACGGACAAGTATTTTAAAATAATGCGTGTTTTCTTGTTTACTTGTATTTCGGCGCTTTAACTTGTTCCTTTAACATAGCTGCCGTGAAAACACTCTGCAGATCAAGTTTATATATGGTCGCAATAACAATATAGAATGTTTGCCATGTTGCATTCCGTGTTGTCTTGCATTGTTCATACATAAGCTTGGTCAAACCATGGATCATAAAAACACCATGGTCGAACGCAGCTAATTAACATAAGCGGCGCACGCGTGCTGCTCTAATGCGGAGTACAGTCAGTGAGTGTACTCCATGTGCAAACAGTGACGTGTGCTCTATATAGTTTAGACTCCAAAAATAAATTAAGGTGCATGTTAATTAGAATAAAGTGCGCAAAGTTTCATGCATATTAAAATTAAACGCGCTCAGTTGCATGCTTAGTAAAATTAAGGGCATGAAAAGCAGTGCATGCTAATTGAAATTGAGTGCGCGCGTCGCCATTTTGTTGCGCGCGATAAAAGCAAAATGCGGCAAAAATCTAAATATAGAAATGCACACATCACATCTTCAAAATGCATCCCAAGTGTCCTAACACCTTTTACAAACTATCGTAAAATATGTTGGGCCATTGGATTCATTTGCCACGCACCTTGTCCTGAACATACCTGAAATATTTTCAGGTTTCGAGGTTAAGATAAATATACCCTTATGTGGAACAATTTGTTCATAAAAAGAGATATATTTGTGTTGCGCAATCTGTAGACTGAATTTTCGGGTGGTCTACAATGTTTTTCAGTTACATCTCGTGAGATTTTTTTTAAATTTTTTTTTGCAAGATTCTTACTTTTCTGGATTTTGGTAGGTATTGGTAGGTATGGGTAGGTATGGTATATATTATAATTAGTTCGGTCACGCAGGGTTGCCCCCGGGGTTTTTGGAATCCGGACTCGTAATCACCAAGGTTTTTCACCAGATCCTCTGGTTTTCCTCGGGTGATTACGTATTTTTTCGTTTGACAAAATATCTAAAAATTGCAAAACAAAAAACAGTGTCCGTGTTCGGGACGAATTTAGTACTGTACAGAAACGAAATGATTATATAGCATTGCATATTTTGCGGTTCGTTCAAGTGCATGTGTCTTTATATTCTGTAGTAATATAATTGCAATCACGTTTCCATCTTTTCACAAAAACGTGGTTTGCAAAGATCCCATCTACATAACACATGTGCATAAAAATGCATTGGAAACTGAAGTAATACACAATGGTCATACAGAAAACACCCATACCCTAATACACCAACAGTTATCATAAACAAATTTTTCTCCTCTCCCCCACCTGACAGGGCAAATTTCCGTCTTGGGGGAGGGTTGATCTTACTTGAAACGACCCAATTTTGCTCAAATACAAAGTTGCAGTGATAAATTAAAATCTTCTAACTAGTAAAATAGCAGACAATTAAATTTCCTGATCTATATAGTCAATAAAGACTAGAGTCTTGAAAATTGCGAAGACGCAGTACTTGAAAATTGCGACTACACAGTATTAATCGTTCGTTTCTGGGTTCAATTCCCACAACACTGTAAAGTAGTTACTAAAAAGTAATGTTTGTGCTTCCCACCCATACCCTAATACACCAACAATTATCACAGCGCAAATTTCTTCATGGGGGGAAAGGTTGATCTTATTTGAAACGACCGAATTTTGCTCTAATACAAAGTTGCAGTAATAAATTAAAATTTTCCAACTAGTAAAATAGCAGACAATTAAATTTCCTGATCTATATAGTGAATAATCTAGTCTTGAAATTGCGAAGACGCAGTACTTGAAAATTGCGACTACGTACACAGTATTAATCGTTCGTTTCTGGGTTGAATTCCCAGAACACTGTAAAGTAGTTACTAAAAAGTAATGTTTGTGCTTTCGTGATGTATATTCTCGCAAAAGTTCCATTAGAAGAAACCGCTTATTATTTGCGAGAGAGGGTGAGCCGGTTGGATTGAGTGATGGGGGGGCCTTGGGGGGGGGGGGTTAAAATAGTTTCTGGGGATGGCCAACATACTTATGAATGAGAGGGGGCTGAAGCGTGTTGGGCGAATTCGCCTTTTTGATCGGGCACCTCCCAGCCGTAATACCGAGATTTCGCCCCTGGGTATGATTTCTTTAAAAATTTGAGCGGCCATGTCAGACATTAGAATGTTAGGGTTTGGAATCCAAGTGAGAATATATACATTTTAAGACCTAACCAGGAACGACTGCGAAAAATGCAGCACAAGGTCCTCTGGTAGGAATTGAACCTACGGCCCTGCGATTCCGGTGCAGCGCTCTAACCAACTGAGCTTCAGAGGCCAGCTGTTGAGCTGTAACCGTAAGTTCATGTATATATAGGTAATTGGTGTGCGGGTTGTGATAAGGTGGACTTAAATGATTAGGATTCTTGCACTTCACTTGGTGGAATTAATATTAGAATGTGTTAGGGTTTGTAATCCAAGTGAGAATATATACATTTTAAGACCTAACCAGGAACGACTGTGAAAAATGCAGCACAAGGCACGTCCTCTGGTAGGGAATTGAACCTACGGCCCTGCAATTCCTGAACATTAATTCCACCAAGTGAAGTGCAGGGATCCATGGGCGTACCGGAAGGAAAAAATTAGGGGGGCGGAAAGAAATTTGCCCGACTTTTTTTTTGCGATCTCCCCCCCAAGCCCTCCCCCCTCCCCCACCCGTCGCCAAAAAAATTTCGGTCAGTGTACCATTTTAGGGGTACAAAAATTTTTCGGACATACCAAAATTTTTAGGAACATGTACAAATTTTCCAGACATAACAAAATTAACCACAAAACTAACAGAATTTGCCACAAAATTGACACAGAATTTGTCCCATTTATTTATATAATAAACCAATATTGCCCGACTGGAGTGCATATTGCCCGACTGGCTTTGTTTGCCCAACAAAATGGGGGAGGGGGCTGCTACCCCCCCCCCCCCCCCCCCCCCCCCC